TCATATGAAATGTATACCTAGTCCGAGAAACTGTTGTCCAAACAGAGCCATTGCATGGTTTAAGATTAAGATAAGTATGTCTCTTGGAGGGTCAGCTACAGGTTGATTCCAATTTGTTATCACACAACAACATGGCTGTGTACTTTTCCCATATCTATTCAATCTGTATGCTGAATAAATTTTTTGAGAAGTTGGGCTCCATGAAGAAGAATGTGGCATAAGGATTGGAAGAAGACTTACCAATAACCTGTGTTGTGTAGATAATACAACATTGCTTACTTAAAGTATGGAAGACTTCGAGGACTACAACCTTCAATACAGATTACAACTCAACAGTGGGAAGACAAAAACCTTACTACTGGACTGTTAAGCTATATCATGATAAATGGAGCAAAGATTGAATTATCTATGATTTTATCTTACTTGGATCCACAATCAACAGCCTTGCTAACAACAGTCAGGATATCAGGACATGTTTAGCATTGGGAAAGTCCACTGTTAGTAACCTTTCCAAATTACTGAAAAGCAATAATGTCATTTTAAAGACTAAAGTGTGCCTGATTCAGATCATGGTCTTTTATATCACCTGCTATGAATCTGACAGCTGGACAATGTATAAGGATGGCAGAAGAATTGATGCCTTTGAACTGTGGAGTTAGAGAAGTACTGTATATTCTATGGACTGCCAAAAGAACAGATAATTCTCAGAGAATGTGCAGCCAGAAGGCTTGTTACTGGCATGGGTCACAAAGCTTCTTCTCATGCTTTAGGATATTGCTAGGAAAGGAACAACATGCTTGGAAAGTTTGAGGTTCAGTGAAAGAGAGGAAGACCTTTTTACCAGATGGATTGACAGAGGACTGAAGCTATGACATCAAGGGTGTCAGAGATGATGATGATGACACAGAATAGGACAGGGTTCAGATCAGTCATTCACAAGGTCACTTGTACCAGACTTTATCACACCTCACAACAACAATTAGCAAAATATCTTTCATTATATAATTGACATAATGTGGTACAATAGCTGACTTTTACATGGCCTTTCTCACCTTGGTTTTATTACTTTCACCAAAAGACTGGGTGTTATTGGAATGTGTGAATGAGGTGCTTGTGGTCCACCAAAGGAATTTAATAGCTTAATAATAACATAAATAAGGTAAAGGTATGAAAATAAAGAAAATGAACCTAAAGAGGGAACAGGTCAGTTTTGCCATCCATCCCATTAGACTTAAAATTTCAACCAAGAGATGGCAAGTTGGAGATGTGATCACCACTCAAGAAACAGGAATGAAATGTGTACCTTGAACCTAAAGTCCTTGTTCTGAGAACCTCTTAGACCCAGAAGACAGACAGTTCTGACACCGAAGACAACAGTTAGTGGTGACAGAAACAGCTGCAATGGCAGCAACAGAACCAAGAGACCAAAGCAAGATAAATTGGTGGGTTCCCTTGCCTTCAGAGGGAGAAAACTGAACACCTTTGGGTGGGTGGTTTGCTGGAGGAATGGGATGACTCTGGTCAGTTATCAGTGGAACTAAAGAATTTTGTCACACTCATCAAAAGATGGCAGAAACCAGGCTAGCCCAAGAGGCCTATGGAGGACCAAGAAGGCAAAGACAAGGAAGGGTGCTGTTGGTGGACACAATTCAGAAGAGGCTACTGCAACTGAAGAGCTGTTTTTTTCGGATCCTGCAGCTCTGGTGGCCTAGTAGTAAGAAGCAGTGCTGCAATCCTGAAGGCACATGTTTCGAATCCACCAGCTGCTCTCTGGGAGGATGGGCAATCTCCTCCCATTCAATTAACTGCCTCTGAAAACCCACCAGAGAGTCAATTTTGTCTCAGTTCTGGCTTGACTGACTGTACACAACACTAACAACTTCTCTAATAAACCTCATAAGTATGGTCTGTGAATTTTGTGTGGTCACTACAATGAATTCTTGAGCTCAGCAAAGGAATGTCATGAAAAAAATGGTATCAAAATTAGTAAAACTTTTGGACAGAAAGGGCATTTTGGACTTTACCTCATAGGAATCCATTTTAGGCAGCTAATACTGTTAATGGTTATCCTTTCTTTTTGGGAAGTTAGAGGAGGTCAGAATACAATGTCACCACATCATTTTAATACACATGTAAAAAAAGATTATTAATTTCTAATATTGCATTGATAATTTGGTTTGGCATGTCACGTGATAAATTGTGCTGCCCTGATCCAGACACTTCTAGGTGTCACTATTAGACTTAACCATTTATAACATCATTATATAATTTTCTTTCCTTTCCAAGAATTCTTTGGAAGAACGGAAATTCTTCTTCAGCTTTGAGCATTTATGATGTAGGAATTACAGCTCCCTGAGATGTCTGTTTTGGTTACTCCCTCCCCAATTTGAAGAGCATCTCAGCATAGCCATCTTATCGGTTGAAACTCAAATTTGTTGTCAGTTATGACTCATGGCAACTTCATGTATGCTAGAGTAGAATTGTGTTCCTTAAGGTCTGCAGTGACTATAATCTTAAAATTTGTCAGACGTTTTCTCCCCAAAGCCATCAGGAGGGATTAAATCACATCACCAATTTTTAATTCATTAAAGCAGCAATTAAGAAATTAAACAACATATTGCAATGGGGAAATATATTTCTCTAATGTGCAAGAGCAAGGGTATCACTTTAAAGAGTAAGGTGTACCTGATCCAAGGTTCAGGCTAGGTTTCATTAGTTTCATTCTGTCGCATGTGAAGTCACTATGGGTCAAGCTGTCTTATAGTAGTTATGTGCAGATGAGTCAGAACTCCACTGGGTCCATAGCTGACCCTCCAGGGGGGGTTTAGAGGTTATGAATCACATGGGAGGAGACTGGCCATCTTTCTCTGACAGAGGAGCTAGTAGATTAAAATCGCCTGCCTTTCAAGATAGCACAAGGGTTGGAAGTACAGCTCCTTACACTAAGTCACCAGAGCTCCCTTGTTGTTGTTGGATGCCATCCAGTTGAGTAAGACTCATAGCAACTGGCCTGACAACAGATGTGAACCCTGTTCTATCCTGTGCTAACACCAGAGTCTCTGAAACAGCTCATTGCTGCAGTCATTGTGCCAATCCAACTAGCTGAAGGTTTTCTTCTCCTTGCTGCCCCTCTCACCTTTCCAAGCATGATGTTCCTTTCCAAGGACTAGCCTTTCTTAGCAACTTGCCCTAAGTATACAAAATGGTATTTTGTCATCATTGCCTCCAAGGAGGAGAAAAATGGTGTGGCATTCATAGAAAAAAGACCCTTTCTAGACCCATCCTGAAGTGAATGCAGTGAATGAAAGGATGCTGCCCATATGCATAAAAGGAAGACCTATCAATATCACCATCATTCAAATATATACACCAACAACTAAAGCCTAAAGAAATAGAAGATTTCTACCTTCTTTTGCCATCTGAAATCCTGTATATGTTGCTGTTATGTGCTGTTGAGTCATCTGTGACTCACAGTGACCTTATGTACAATAGCTCTGAATCCTGCCCTTAATCTCACTATCTCTGACACACCTACTCCCATTACTTCAGTTACTGCGTCAATCCGTCTCCTCTAGGGTCTTCTCCACTGTTCCTCCACACTTGCAAGCATAATGTCCCTCCTGGCAACAGGTCCTAAGTATGTGAGACAGAGCTTCAAAATCCTTGTCTCCAAGGAGTAACTTGGTTTCACCCTCTCCAGGATAGACTTATCTGTTTTCTTGGCAGTCCATGGTATGTTCAATACTCTTCTCCAGCACCTCAATGCAATGGTACATAACAGTAATTTTAGAAGTGATATTAAATGATCTGTGGTCAATTTGTTATATATTTCCTGGGGATATTGGCACAGCCAAATATCAAGAGAAGGAAAACAGTGATTATGGAATAGGATATTTTAATTTAGGACATAGAGTTAAGATTTAGAAATGTTGTAATGGCATATTATTTGTACCCATCATTAGCAGGATATACAGAAGTATTTTAGGATATAACAACTGCTTCAAACAACTACTGTTGGTGTGTAGTGCCATATGAGATGTTGCTTGGTTGAATAGTGCTTTGAAAAATAGACAAAAATCTGAAAATAATGACCACAGACTGCATGGTTGAATAATCCATGGGTACAGAAACTATGATGAGAAATCAGTAAAGGTAATGAAGGAAATGTATATCATTTAAAGCATCTCTAATAATATCAGAAAAGTACAGCGACTATGGCAGAACTGTTATGATGTATCAAGGGTATTTAGGTTTTACAAGTGGATTTTAGTTACATGCCAATCTTCAGGGCCTACCCATATTTCACAAGTGTCATCTCTACAAATGATGGGGGTATCCATGCCTTATTTGAACTTTACATGGATTTACCAGAATGGGAACGCAACATTACATGACAGAAAGTGGAATTTAGATATTTCTTTTTTTTTTAATCGGTGTGTAAATTCTGGCACTTAAAATTGAAGTAATCTCATTTCAGTTTAAAAAACTAAAGATAATCCATTTGAAAATAGTGATTGAGACTGTGATCCTTAACAATATTGGTGGGTTGAAAATACAGGGTCACTTTGTACCTTGGCAAGCTTATTTGGTCCTAATATTCAAGTCAAATGTTATGAAATCCAAAAACTAACATTCCTGGCTAATATCCCAGGTCCCAGAGCAAACTGTTTTAACTCTTTGCAAACCATACCCTAGGACAAATTACAGTTTCACTTAGCCTGCTTCACTTTACCTTTATGTCTATCTGATTATATACGTGTGTATAATGACATGCAATGTAAATAATTTACATACATAATTTGATGCACACATAATGCGTGTTAAACTCGAAATCACAGACAGGAAGGGGTGGAGCGCCAGAGGAGGCGTGCCAGAGCGCCAAGGAGCGAGCGTGCAAGCGTGCCTGCTGGAAGCTTAGGCCTGTGCATCGGTGCTGCACACTGCCCTCGCTACCGGATTTGGGGCAGGAATCTGCTTGGACCTTGGACGACTGTGGGTCCATGGCCACGGAGGCAGTTCCTTCGACCTTGGCCGTCAAAACCCTAGGACCGGCTGTGAACCTGAGCTCCTACGGGGTCTTCTGCAAGGGACTCTCCCGCACCCTGCTCGCCTTCTTTGACCTGGCTTGGCAGCTGCGCATGAACTTCCCATACTTCTACATCGCAGGCTCCGTGATACTCAACATTCGCTTGCAGGTACACATATAGACTTATGAGTAAACTGCTGTTATCCGGGTCCAGCGCCATGATGGACTGTAATGGCGGATGCCTCGCTGGGCGGTGGACGTGCTCGGTTAGGAGCCCTGTGTTCTCGCGATAGGGTCTCACAGTGTCGGCAACCTTCGGCATGATGATGCAAACCCGAAGTGATCCGAAATGGTAAATACGTGATTCTGAGATCAGAAGGAAGCTTAAAACACAGGGATGTTTATGAAGCGTGCATCATTAAACCAAAAGCAGGCCGAACTTCAGGATGTGGACAAGGGCACAGGAGAAAAAAGACAGTCTAAATGTAAAAAAATTAACTCATAGTGCAATCAGTACATTTCAGGAATTGTGGATTGTGTTGTAAGTAATACGTCGAATGGTTAATAAGATGAAGATAGTAATACAACATGGAACGCGTATATTTCTTCACCCTACAAGAGGAAACAATGACATTAAGACATTAAAAACTTCCAGAAAGACATCCACTAAAGAAATAGAAAATGCAGGATTTTGAACGTGGATCCTCTTTCGGTGACTGAGTAGGGAGAATTAAGATCTTGGAGACAAAGAGAAGGAAATGTGATCATAGACAAAGCTTTTCTTTCCAGTTAACAATGTACAAATAATCATAATGTGAATGTTGTTTATGGTTTCATTTTCTAAGAAAATGCTTAACTGTGATTACAAAATAGGACATATATGTTATTTAAGAATGAAAAGTTCCTTTGTCAAATGGGAGACGTAAAGGGTGAATGGGTTGGATGATGGTGCCTTTAAAAAATGAGAAAGTGGAGAGATACTGGGTATTGATGAAAATATTTTGTTCTTTAAAGAAGGTTCTAAATTTGGCAACTACCATGAAAGGGAGGGAATAGGGCAGAATATCATGAAGTTAATAATGGGAAATGGCTAAGGAAAGTAAGTTCGAGTGAAAATAAATTTCAAAGTGAAAAATTCAAACAAAATTCCTGAAGATTTTAATATTTTTTACTTTTCTCAGAGTTGGTAGATGAATGAATTAGTGATCTATACATGAAAAATCTGAGGCAATTAGGAATCTGAGAAAAAGTAAGATATTTTAAAATACCCTACCTATTTCAACTGTCAGGGCTCTGGTGGTACAGTGGCTAATGGCCTGCCAATTGAATATCTGCAGCTCAAACTCACCTCCTCCTGAGAAGATAATTAGAAGGTGGCAGTTTGCCCAATATGTTGCTTTAAAGACTACAGCCTGGGAGGCCCTGTGGGGCAGATCTACTGTCATAGATGCTTTTGGAATCTACTCCACCAATAAAGGTTTAATTAGCATTGAAGGATATATATAAAATGGTGAATAGTTTAAAATGTAATATAGAGAAATCAAGAAAGTATGATAACTGTTAAAAGCAGGTGGCTATGAGTTTAAAGCAGTTGGAGAAGGGAAATCAGGGATAGGTAGGAAAAACAGAAATGCTGTTTTCATTATCAGTCTAACTGTTGTTTTTGGTGTGTCTTTTTTTTAAACTATGCATGTGTGTTTCTTAAAAATGTAAATCTTCATTTCTCCCACATCATTCTAATGTATTTTGCTGGTTCGGAGTCACAATAGTAGATTGGGATTGCATTTTTAAATAAAGCTGATCTCTGTGAAAATACAAATTAAGTTGTGGTCTTGGTTTAGTCTTTTATTCAATTAAACTGTTAAAGCTCAGGCTGAGAATGAGAAGCCTACCTTAGTGCACAAGAAACAGTACATGTTACTCAAGATGTGAATGAAACTTACAACACACATGGAATGTCTGCTTTTCCAGTGGAAATTGTCACCCCCAGGGGACATGTAGGGTACTTACTAGATACGAAAAGATAGAATGAGATTTCAGGAAGATTTGTTGGGGGGGGTGGGGGAAGCCAGTATTGCCTAATGTAAAACTTTAAATCTTTCAGCATTTCTGTATCCCACTAAGTGTGTCCAAGAGATAAGTATCCTTTGTTGTTAAGTGCTGTCAAATCGTAGGTGACTCATAGTGACCCTAAGAATGAAAGACCTGGACATTTGTATAACTTTCATCCTTCCCCTGGGTTCATAGGGTTTCTGGAGGCAAGCTATTTCAGAAGTGGATGCCACCCCTGCTCCAAGCTTATTTTAATCAGGGAGCCCCACCAAACACTGTCCACCATGGGTAACCATTCTTGCATTTGACCCATCAGTGTCACTGTTCAGCTTTACAGCAACCATGAGTTACCTCTGTAAGCAAGTATACTTTAGCATTTTAAAATAATAAGTACCCCTTCCAGCACCATGCCTGGTTTGGCTAATTAACCTAACTGCTCTTTTTTTTTTTTTTTTTTCTGTCAACTAAATTCTAGCATCTTCCTCTTTTCTGCTTCTTCATTGTTCTGCCTTCTCTACTTATTGTCTCCTGGTGGAAATTTTAAGAATAAATAAATGTAGAGGTCACATTTTGCCTTTGAAGATTTTCCCAATGTCCCCTGACCAAATTAGATCTCATTTTAATCCACTCATGTAAACACTAATTGCTGTAGAGTCAGAACTGACTCCTGACTCCTGACTGACCCTCCAGAGGATTTGCTCATCTTTCATGCAGAGATGCTGGTGGATTTAAACAACCAGAGAGGCACCACTTTTGGGTTAGCAGCACAAGTCTCTGAAGATGATGGAACATGTTAATATCAACCAATGCCATTTTCATGGACTGCCGTAGTTTGTGCCTCATCATCGGAGTTTTATTAGAAAGATAGTAATACCCTTGCCTGTAATAACTTCTCTTGGTGATTATGTTTTACTGTGATAGAGTGCAAAAGCCAAAACATTTCAGTCTAAAATAAAGGTAGTTCAGTTAATAAAACCTAATGTTGTTGTTGTTGTTGTTATGTGCCGTCAAGTCTTTTGCGACTCATAGTGACCCTATGTACAACAGCCCTAAACCGTGCTCTATCCTGTGCCAATCTCATTGCCTCTGACACACCCATCCCAATTACCCCAGTCACTGAATCAATCCATCTCATAGAGGGTCTTCCCCTCTTGTGCCGTCCCTCCACCCTCCTAAGAATGATGTCCCTCTCCAAGGACAGATCCCTCCTTACAACATGTACAAAGTGTGTCAGATGAAGCCCCAGAATCCTTGCCTCCAAGGAGCAGCCTAGTTTAACCCTCTCCAGGATGAATTTGTTTGTTTTCTTGGCAGTCCATGGTACATTCAATACTCTTCTCCAGCACCACAGCTCAAAGGCATCAATTCTCCTTCTATCCTCTCTAGTCATTGTCCAACTCTCTGACGCATAACAAGTGATTGCAAAGACCATAGCCTGTATCAGACGCACCTTACTCTCCAGAGAGACACCATTGCTCTTCAGTACTTTGGAGAGGTCCCTAAGAGCAGACTTTCCCATTGCAATACATCTTTTAATTTCCTGGCTGCAGATGCTAAGAATGTTGACTGTGGAGCCAAGCAAACTAAAGCTGTGAACAATCTCAATCTCTTCATCATCCATCCTGATGCTGTCAGTTGGTCCAGTGGTGAGAATGGAAAAGAAAAAGCCATAAAGGCATTTTTCCAAATAGAAGGGAAACAGTTATCATCTTTTTGCAGTTTAAAGATCTTCTAGTTGTGAACTTTGAAGTCATGGTTTTTCTGCCCTGAGAAGCCCTGACTAAATTTTTCACTATGAAATTTTAGAATCTAATATTAATTAAAGCTTTTCCTCCTGGAGTATCAGTTTGACAGTCAAGAAGAAAATTGAAATTATACATGGATGCATAATATAGTGGAGACTGGAAATCATGAAATACAGGGTTGAAGAGGAATACCCTAATGCCAGTAATTTAATGATAGCAAGTACTACAAAGAGTAATTTCCATGCAAGTGAAACAAGAATCTTGCTATTAGAATGTCCAATAAATGGATTTGATGGAATACTATTTCATTAGTTGGAGGGGGAATCCCCCCCCATTTTTAATGGGAACTAGTGATAACATTTCTCTCAGGATTATTAGACCAGATCATGAAACTTTATAGCAGAAATTGAATTCTCCTCACTCCCACTCCCACTCCTACTGTTAAATACTTTAAGCAGGGTTTTTGAGGAAAGGTCAGGACACATTCCTGAATTTTTCCAAGTGAAAAATGGAAACTATGGATTCTTGGTAACATAATTACAAGATGCTGGGGTCTGCATGTTAGGCATGGTTAATTAGCATTAATTAGAATTTGAATCATTAAGTATGTGGACTTACTCACAGATGAGTAAGAGTCATCAGTAAACAATGAAGAGAATTGAATATTGAGTATAATTGAATATAGTATTGAATGAGAGAAGTTGATTATATCTTTTTCATTAACCAAAATGGAGGGGGAATAGTCATCACATAACCTACAATATATCTTTACTTCAAAATACCTTGCAGAAAAATATTAAATTATGCCCAAGTTTGATAGTTAAGAAGAAAACAAAGATTATACATTGATCCATAGAAAGAAACAAAAGGATATTTAAACTGAAAGCTGTTTTTCACAAGTTTCTTTTCACTGACAAACATCAACTTTTGAAACATGCAAACTGAAATCAGAGATGGAGTGAAAAGAAACCTTGAAATACAACAATTCAGGTCAGAGCTATGTGAAAGGGAAAATCACTTCTTTCTAATCCAAACATTTAAACATAGAACAGAGAAATTGTAATCAAATGTAGACAATATTTGCTTGATGTTCTGAAACCACACAAGTACCAACAAAATGGCAACAACTGAAAATGGCTTATCTGTCTTCTGGGGTTTGACCTATAAATAACTCACAAGGTACTGTCTAGATTCTCGGATGCTAAACAATCTTACCAGTTTTTTTAAATGAAGGTTTATTTGTAAACTGAGGTAGTATGTTGTTGTTATGTGCTGTCAAGCCACCTGCTACTCATAGCAACTCTGTACAATTAAGCCTGCCCTGTCTTGAGTCAATCTCACCGACTCCCAACACACCAACCTCCATTGCCTCAGTTAATGTATC